TATAACTGTTCACTCATTTCTGGGCTTATGGTCTTCCTGTGGGCATCTATTCCTGCACTCTCCCGTGCAGAGGCAGTTGCTGCACTCGGTCCCAGAGACTCTCCTGCAGATACAGCGCCTTCCCTTTCTCACGCACAGGAGACAGCACACTCTCTCGCTTCTTCCCTGCTTCTCGCTTCTTCTCCAGTGAAGGATCAGCTGCAAATCAGCCTCTCCTCGTCGGATGCACTCCCCCATCTGTTTCTCGCTTATCTCCCCCGCTAGAAACTGCCTGAATACGTGCGCTGTCATCTCCCGTACTATTTTCAGGACTTTTGCCTGTCGGTCCTCCCTCCGTCCCCCCGCCCTCTCCTCGAGCGCCCTTTTTATTTCTTTTTGCAGTGCCTCCATATGAAAAAACTTCTCGAGTCTCTCTCTTCTAGGCTGCCCCTTCTCACGGCAGTTGCCTCTGCCTCCCTCATAACCGGAAGAAGCAGTGCTTTTTCCTCGTATAAGCCCATTCTCTCCGACCTGATAAAGTCCTCCTCTGTTATGGTCTCTCTCCCCATTTCCGTTGGGGATTCTGTCTCCATAAGCAGCGCAAAAGGACGAGTCTCCAGCATATCTATACACTACGTCTCCCTCGACAGCACCGACAGAGTAACGTACATTCCCACGCACACTCTGTACAATACAGTGATAACCAAGTACAAATAATCAGAAATATCCGAACAAACCAGATACTCTGAGCTGAAATAGTAGAGTTTCTAGCCCAGTGAAACTGCACTCTTCATTCGCTTTTCTATTGACTGCTTAAATACTTAACTGCTTAAATACTTATATTTCATTGTTTATGACTGCTCCCATAGAACAATATCTACTATGCGAATAAATCAACAGCCAATTACGAGTAAATATGCTCCCATAGAACAATATTTCAGCCTATTCTGGCATGAACTCAGCCTATTCTGGCATGCTTTTACTGAGTGCTCTAGAAGCAGAAAATTCAACGGGAATCCCCTGCATATCCGCATTTTATTTTTTATTGTGTATGACGGCTCTGCTTAACTTCGGTGCGATGGTCCGTGTTTTGCTTCTTTTTACGTGCACAGTGACGTATGCAAAGCCCTTTCTCCCGCAGCAGTTCACGAGTACTGCGCCTTCCAAGGGGGAAACAGGCGGTTTTGCACGGATTATATACACGGGGACTGTTATAGGGGAGAGAATGTCTCCGTATATCTCTGTGCTGTGCCTGTACTACTCTCTGGAGTCTATTGTTCGCCTGTTCATATAATAAATGCCCAGAGTCTGTGCATCCAGGACTTCTCCTGCTTTCTCGCGTAGCACGCCTTTACTGCTTGTATCTGCGATAAACACGCTTTTACGTTCGATCTGTTTTCTATGTAGCACCTGTACGCTTCCAAGTACTTCTCCTTGCACGCATCCTCCTCGTTAAAGCACCCGCAGTCTCCAGGCTCCTCCGGAGTCTTGCTCATAAAATATTTTCCCGAGTCTTTCGGGCTTATGCTGCAGCAGATGAGATGCTGAGTGTTTATAGAGTCTTTACTAAGTTAGTTCATAAGTATTCTTTGAGTGTTTTCTTTGAGTATTCATTGAGTATTTATCTGAGTATTTATCTGAGTATTTATAGAGTATTTATAGAGTATTTCTCTGAGTATTACTAATTTAGTTCATAGATATTCATTGAGTCTTTTCATAGGTATTCATTGAGTGTTTTCATTGAATATTTCTCTGAGTCTTTTAATTGAGTATTTCACTAAATATCTACAGAGTATTACTAAGTTAGTTCACTAAATATCTACAGAGTCTTTTCATAAGTATTTCCTGCGTATTTCGTGCTTTTTATTTCCGAATAACCCGAATAAAAATCGCAAGAAATGGGGTGCATGCACGTGGACATAGAAGAGACAGTGGAAAAGTGCTCCGGAATAATAGAGAAGATAGAAGGACTAATCCAGGAGGAGACTCTTCTAGCATGCAAAATATGCAATAGCACATTTTCCGTTGAAGTGTGCATGGAGTGCAATAGTGCGTACTGCAGGGAGAACTCCCACGTTGAGTCCCACTGGAAGGATGCATGGCACAAGAACTACTTCGTGCCTGATTTTGGGACAGTTTCCTGCGAAGAGTGTGCGAAATACATCTCCATATCAGACATAAACCGAATGATAGACCAGAAAAAGACCGTTTTATCTCCCCCAAAAAATTTTCAGGGTCTGAACCTGAATTGGGTGAAGGGATTCCTGAATTTAAAGCGGACCTGCTACATGAGCAGCCTCCTGCAGTCGATTCTCTCCCTGCGGCCCTTCATAAGGAACCTCCTGGGAGTAGAGCACAGGCTGAAAACATGCCCGAATAAGGAGTGCATTCTCTGCGCCCTGAATAGGATACTCTACCAAATGTACAACAACACAAACGGATCAGTCGATATCTCCGAACTGATCCGAATATTCTGGGAAAATAATCCATTCTTTGCAAAGAGCGAGTACCAGGACGTCCAGGAGTTCTTTATGTTTCTGAGCTCGCAGATACACGCGATGGGATGCTCCCAGGAGGAGCCCTGTCCCGTGCACAGGACCTTCGGAGGAGTCTTTTCGTCCGTTATAGAGTGCGTCTGCGGGGTACAGGAGGAATCAGCTGAAGTCTTTACGTGTATAAGCATGAACTTGCACGGGAATACGCTGGAGGAGACTATCCGGAAGTACTTCGAGAGAGAAAGCATCAGCATAGACAGAAAGTGCTCGTGCGGGAATGAAAGCACGTATACGCAGAGCATAGACGTAAAAGAGGCTCCGAGTGTGCTCTGCCTGCACCTGAAGAGGTACCAAATGAAGAACAAAAGCATCTCCAAAATCGACACGGTCCTCTCCTACCCGGAAGTACTTTCCGTTGGGGGAAAAAAGTTCAGTCTTTCCTCCATTATAATGCACAGCGGAGAGATGGACTCTGGGCACTATATAGCATACACAAGAAGAAACAATCAGTGGTACCTGACGAACGACGAGGAAATTATGCGAGTCTCCCTCGTTGACATCCTGAATAAGCCCGTATACATTCTCTTCTACACGCAGGAGTAACGAATTAACGGGAGAAAAGGAGAAAAGAAGAAAAGGAGAAAAGGAGAAAAGAGGGAATTCTTTAGAAGTTGCACACTCTGGAAGGTCATGAGATAGTGAGATTATAATGGACTTATGAAATACTGAACTCTATGAAATTCTATGGGGTAATGGAATACTATG